CGCATTTAACTATTGACATCATTATCTTCCCTAGTTTCTTCCAATATCATCTAAGGATGTACCGCTTCCAGATATAGTAAATGGTAATCATCTTCATCACAGGCTTGAATAGTCGTTTGCAAGGCTTCTGACTTTTATCTTCAATGCTCGTCTGCGTTTACGTCATATTCGAGGATTTAGAGCCGATGATGCACATACCTAGGAATTCGGAAGCGCTAGTGTTAAAATGCACCGTTTACCTTTTTCGACTCAGGAATCGCCTAAAGCACATTCCTCTTGTCTCTCAAGTTAACAGTCCCATCAAATCCTAAGGCACCTGGTTAGGCATGTAATCAGTAACCTATCGTTAAAGCGCGCACTTAAAAAATGCACACAAGCTCATACTGATGCAAACTCGGGACTTATATCTGGTACACCTGTATCTTTAGCCTAGCACGTCTAAAATGTTTTGGCCTTTAATTTCCTATCCCACATCCCACATGTAGATCTCCACTGGCGAATATTCAGGCTGGTCTGGATTTGACTACCCTTTATCCAGCTCTCTGGCAATGTCTCTTCCTGTTATTCAATAACCATCCCTGGTCCGAGCTTTTTCTTTCTGTTGTCCTCACTGAATCTTCAAGTCTGCCCAGGTAGTATGCGAAACTATCGCTGACTCTTCCATCTTCCAATCTTAAGTTTATCAAGTTTCTTTGAAACATGATATGCGCAGTCTACGTGTTCTCCCATATGAAGCCAGTCTTTCCTTGCACTCCAGTCAATTGTGTTGCTGGTCAGAGCAATGTGTTCAGCTATCTTCGATCCTTCTGTATCTATTTTTATGCATAGTCGCTGGTGTTCTTTGATCCTTGTGTTGATTGTCCTTCTTGTCTCTCCCATGTATTTTTGCTTATAGTCCTTGTAATTTATGCTGTAAACTCCCTAGCACTCCATTTTGTTGACTTCTTCATGTTGTGTGGGAAAGCCGGTGAAGGGGGTTATCCTTGCCTTCAGGATTGTACTAAGACTTGATTTCAATAGTATCGGCCATAGCTTCCGAGCCAGTTCGCAGGGAGGTAGATATATCCATTGTTATTCCTCTGTCTCCCTTGCTTTCCTTTTATAATCCCTACCCTTCAATCTGCTCATCACGATCAGTACGTTGTGTTGTATTGAGTATTATGGATATCAGTTTCCAAAAAGCATTTGAGTCCCTTTTTCCGATACCTCTTCCTATTACTCAGAATCGATAATTCGTAGGCTTCTTATGATCATACTCTTGAGTATTCCAATCTTCATTTCATAAGTATAGTTGGGCTGGATGCTAAGTAATCTTCCTGTATATGAGTTCTTTCGGAACAGGCCTTTCTTGAGAGTCTCTTCAGAAGGAATGACCTCCACATCCAAGAAAGGTAGGTGTCCGTTCTCATCTACATCCATTATAAATTTGATTTCGTAATCCATGTCGTTTAAGTAGATCAGGAAATCGTCTAATTTCCCTTTTAAATGCAACTAGAGTTCAAAGAAATCATACAAATATCTAATAAATTCTGCTTGTTGTTAAGATGAAGTTTTAAAATTCTTATCCAACTTGTACATGTAGACATTAGCTAAAGTAGAAGAGAGTAGCGAGGCCATAGGCAGACCAAATATTTGTTCGTAGATGCAGCCGTTGAACGTGAAATAAGTAGTTCTTATTGTATGATTGATTAACCAAATTAAAGTGTCTTTTCGGATTCGCTCCGTCTTCCTAAAATCTCCAGTAGTGCCCTGAATGCCTTTTCTCCTGAGATGTTGGCGTACATGGACTGTATGCCTAAGTCCATCAATAGTTCATTTCGCTTCAAACCGGTGCCTTTGATTCTTTATCAAAATTCGTATGAATTCCTCACTGTATTCGACCAATTCTCATCCACCTCTTTTTAACTTGAAGCAGATATTCTTTACCAGTTTATATGTTGCTCACTGTTTGTTATTCACTATAAGTTAATGGTTCATGTTCTTTGTGTACTTTCGTCACTCATGTGGTACCAGGGTTGATGGATCCCTTGGCTTGAGTGAACCCATTGTTCTTTTGTCGATTTACCCATTCGTATTTATTTCCTTTTGCATTTTTTCAGTGCCCCTTTTAGCTTAACTGTTAGGTCATTTTTTAACAGTTGTTTTCCCAACGAATATTTTCAAATTTCTCTTAATATTCCTTCATGCCCATCATTACTGTGGCACCTCCTTTGTCGGCTTGTAGAAATATTTGATGGTTACTTCTCAATTATCTATATCTTTCAGTTATATCGTCCCTATCAGTATGGTATTGATGAGTCAAGCTTGTTTGTTCGATTTCCAATTCTAGCTCTATCCCTGACCCTAGATGTAGTTTCTCAGAAGTATTTATCACCCCCACTAAAGTCTCTTTGTTTGCCTTTTTATTCTGAAGCGAAAAATTTAGTCCGTTCTTTAGCATCGTAGTGATTTGGAGGTTAGAAGAGATGAAAGACAGATGTATCACTTTATCATCGACTTTTGAATGAACTGTGATATATGTCACTATAGAACCACAAGTAATGAGACATAATGGTATGTGCGGATGAGAAAGAGTATAAGTAGGTCATGGCTTTTAAGTCTAGGGAGAGGAAGATTCCAAGGCATGGGCATCACGGGCTCTTAATCCTCGAATATGACGTAAATGAAGACGAACATAGAAGGCTCTTAGAGTGCAATATTTCAAACAGTCAGACAGAGATTCTGATGTGTAGCAGGGACTAATTGGCAAGGAGTATGAAAAGAGGATTAGATGAAGGTCTGAAACTCTGCAAACGGCTTTTAAAACCGGTGATGAATAAAAGTAGCATTCACTATAGCATTAGTAGCTATGACAAAAACTGGAGACGAGGAATGATGCCACAACGACATCGCAGTCTGCATCGTCAGTGAACAGAAAATTGTTCAAGGAGATTGCCTTCACTTGTCCCTTTGATAAGTTGTAAATCTGTACTGATGATGGCACCAGCTACGATGCTGGTGAAACGTTTGGGAATGCTCCAAGTTAATACTCCGATGCTGGAAATCACGAATAAAATGACAGAGGACGAAGGACTATATATACGTTCAAAAATATCTCTCTCTTGAACCAATCAAGTTGCGAAACGAGAAAAAAAACACTATACAAGGCAAAGTAGATGGATACCAGACACAAGACTAGACCTTTTGGGTCTTCATATATATGATGAAATAATTTTATTAAAGTAGTTAAAATAAAAAAGCAAAACGAAAGGATTAATTGTAAATTTCAAGGACATACTTATTAATAAACAAGCGGTTGTCCGCAGAAAGGAGCAAGAGTAAAAACTTAATGCCAAGCTACTTCACCTATTCTAAGGCATAATGAAGATAGGGGTAAGAGATCTATGAATTCCTAATCTTGGTTAGTGTAACCTCGTGACGTCAATCTTCAGCTTTGTCTTGAACAGAGAGAACATGGTGGTACCCAGAAATAAATCAGTATTCTATGTACTCTGGTAATATAAAATTCGTTTCAAAGCTAACAAATCATGATATTAAAAACTATAAACACGATAGCAGGTGATTATCTTAGTGATTAATTAGTTTTATATAGACTATCATCGATGGTAATCTCAAGTAAAAGTATTCTCATTATGATTTATTGCTCTTAAGAAATACGTTCCTTTTAAAAATACTAGTCGGAATATAGTATAGCGGTGCTTAACGCGAGGTCAAAACTGCAATTTACCCTGGATGAGAAAACCTTTAATATAGCAAGGCCATGAGGAAAGCAATTCTACTGTGAGACCTATTCAAATCATTAACCCACTAATCACCTTAAACGACCTATGTTATTAAGTTCTGATTCAACAAATATCCATGGTTTCAAAATAATAATTTAAAGTAGAACAAACAATTTTTGATTAAGTAGAGAATATTATATGAAAATATGTCTCGAAAGTGTAGTGTGTGGTAAAACATTCTGGTAGGCAAATGTAAATGAAATTCAAGGGCATCGTTAAGCCTACTTGTATGATTGTAGGAAAATGTACCTAACAGTCATTAAATCACATTAAACAATCTAGGATAACTGAAGTTCTTAATAAATAAAGTATGTTCTTAATGGAATATCGGCTTTGGGCTAGAACCTTTTTTAATTTCCTCTAGTTTGCATATTTGAAGTGGGTTCTGATTTAAAAATTCTTGCATTCCGAACGAGAAATGAGTAAGGCATAGTTACACATTTGCAAAGATATGGAAGAAAATATGAAGATGAACCAATAAGTTTAGAATAAACGCCTTCCGAAGTCTTTAAATGTTAACAACCAAGCAATTATACTGAAAGTCAAATAAACTTAATCACTTTGACTGATTTCTGCTCAGCATTTAAAGGAACGAAACAAATTTAAATAATAGGGTTTAACAACGAACACGAAGTCGGATCAAAAATGAACGCAGATCAAAGTATGACCAAAGACAAATCATGTTTAATAAATATGGCGACCAAGAACAACCAAAAATGAAAATCACAAAACAATTAAGGAAGAAAACTGTAAGGTTCGTCTAAATCGAATGCCTCATTTGATGATTTATTGTCCAGATTTCCCTAGTCACCAGCAAGTAAATTTGGATGAATTAACAAAATCCAGAATGAAATCCTGTAGAGATAAAGAATTTAATAAAGTAATGTATTACTTACTCAAACTACAATGGACTCCGTACCATCCAGTTTTGCAAATACAAACGCCATCCTGACAACTTCCATGCTGATAACATCGTAGATCGCAGGTTCGCATGTCACATTGCTTACCCGTCCACCCAGCAAGACAGTTACATTGCACTGATTTACCAATTTGCAGCGGTTGTTCTGGATTCTGTAGACTTCGTTGACATTGACCATGGATACAGTTCAATTGACGACAGGCCTTTAATTCGCTAGTATCTGTGATACAACAATATGAATAAAAGCAAGAGATGATAGCAAAAGACAAGATTAGACCAGAAATACTTATGGTTCTGTATCAATTAGCGAAGGAAAAAAGGAAAAGGAAATAATACTATGCTACGCGGAATAAAATATGTACATGAGACTTGAAGAAGGCAGGATTAGCGAAAACGATGCATAGTGCCTAAGCGAACTCAGAGGAGATAAGCAAAAACAAGACGATTAAATCAAGATAATATTTTAAATTTAAAAAAAGACATCGCAAGGAGACAACGGAGGAACAATCGAAAACCAAGAGAAGATGTCTACAGTGAGCCTATTCAATCAAGTATAACTGTCATGTTTACGAGTCGGCACACAAGAAACTAGGGCATAAGAAAGTCACAGACTTGGCATTAGGGATAGGAGAGTGAGAGATATAGTGGAGGCCATTGATAGTTAGCTATTAGTAGATAAGCTTGATGATAGACGTTGTCCATGAGGTAAAGGCTTGACCGCTGATATTTACTCGGCGCACATACAGCACAGTGATAAATGAAGCGGTAGCACCAAGTTGGGTTGCCATGCCAATTGAGAATTCATACTTTAGGGGCTTGTTCAGTGAGGCTAGTGTATACGTGTAATGAAAGTCTTGAGGCAGTGTGAGAAACAACACCTATAGTAGCAGTGATAGTGATAGTGGTCGAGGAAGACATGTGGGTGAGACAGATCATACGGCTTAAGAGGGAGACTATGATAGGAACTGAAGGAAGAAGATTGCCGACTAAACTGGGGGGTCAGCACCTCCAGCACAGTGGAAAGATGGATGTGGGAATTAGCGGGGAGTGTAAATAGGTCTCAACTAGGCTTAGATAAACAACAATAAAAATTGATATTGAAAGGGATATAGGATAGGCGAATACCACAAGACGGAAGAGAGAACAATTTTAGCAGACAATTGGTCAAAAAATTGACGTCACTTGTTTCTTTGACGAGTTATGGTGTGGTGTAAACAGTGGTAATGCACATTGACTATGCCATCGAAATGTCTGGGTATATACAAAGATCACGGTCTGATATAGGAAATTATCATGCATACTATGGACCCCAGGCAAGATACGTTCCCTTAAGTCTTCCTGCCAATATGACCAAGTTGCGAAAACAAGGTCAGATTATTTGGAACTATGTGGGTAAACAAATAGGAAATAAAACTAGTAATGATAAATGAGCTAAAAAATATCTCAAAAACTAGCTGCATTTAAGACCTCTAAAACTGACTATATTTATCAGTATTTAATGCTTAAACCAGCAAATAAATACATAATTAGGGAGATGATAAAGTAAGCTTAAAATGCATAAGGAAATGTAAAATTGGCCAGTAATTATTGGTTACCCATGGCCATGGAAATAGTCGGTCTCGCAGATTGATGAAATAGATTAACCCCGCCGTAGCGCAAACGCTAGTTGATATTTGGCTACAGATACTAGATCAGCGAAGTAGCAAAGTTAATAATGGTTTAAAGTGGCCTTATAATGACTACCAATGGGCTAAAATATACCACAAAAACTCGAGATATTGAGAATGAGCAGGTCGTGCAAGCCCTAAATAGATCAAACGAAATTTACCAGATAAGTATGTGGTTTTAAACTCAGTTGGCGAAAATTGTAGAGGCTCCAAATGGTTTTCGCTGGGTTTCTGGTCCGAAGAAGCATCCGCAAAATCATTTGACATCAGCGCAGCAGCTTTGGCTTGTTGTATTACTGATTCTGATATCAAAATCGAATCTGTGTCTTCCTTATCAGTTTCGGCTTCAGTAACGTCTTTCGTGCTGCTAAGATTTAATGAATGCTGTCCGTCGTTGGGTGATCGCTTGTTTTGTTCGAGAGCTCCAGTGACGGGTAGATCACATGCATTACCCCGCCAGCCAGTGAAACAGCGGCAGACGCCTAGCTTGCAGACACCATTTCTCGAACAATCAGGTGAAATACAAGTCACTAAACGAAATGAGATGAAATATCAGAATTAAGAAATTTGACAGAAAGGGTCTTGGCAAAAACGCTTAATGGAGTTAAGTAATAATTTTGGCAAGTAATAATCAAAAGTAACCAAACGAGCAATTATCTACATGAAAACAGCGAACTCAGTTTAAGAAATATAGGTAATCACAAAAATATTTTTAAACAATCGAAAACATACGTTTTTTTATAATTAGAATCAAGGGATTTGCTTCCTGAGTCACAAGACTATTAAAAAAATAGGTTACTTCTTTGCTTAAATCCCATTTCTCTGGGCTTTATCAAGCAAAGAAATCACGGTGTTGAGGGGAAAATTCAATCGACATTATTCCTCTTATACAAAATATAATCTTTAAATAAGAATGAGAGACATAGAAATGAACAATACAGAATCATTAAATTAGCAATATATTATTCACATATAAAAAGAAGAAGTAAAAAAATAGAGGAAATTATGAAAATAAAGAATTAATTGTTCTCATCCTCATGACTACTGGTTATAGAATCCATGTAAAGATTTCATGGAATTATAAATGACAAAAAAAGCAGATATACACAAGCTTCCTTCCTTTTTTTAAAGAAAGAATTTAAAGAATTTGTTTGACCTTGTTTTTGCTACTTGGTCATATTGGTAGGAAGACTTAGAGAAACGCACCTAGTACGGAGTCCATTGTATGCATCATCATTTCCAGAGTAGGACCGTGGACGTAATACATTTACAGACGTTCAACCGGCATCGTAGTCAGCATCGTCAGTGAGTCCCGCCATTCATAGCACCATATTACTTGTCAAACAGATAAGTGAAGCCCATTCTTTGACCAAACGCGTGGTAAACAGTTGTGATATCTCCCCTTCTGCCATGGGTTATTCACATTTCCAACATCCTCCTATCATGCCGTCCGTGTCACAATTTTTTCCGTGCTTATTTTTAATGTAGTGTGTTGTGCTCCTTCGAGCGGCATTCATGAAAACCCTTCACACTACAGGCTGTCGTTATCACCCCCTTCACCCTTGTGCTGGTAATATTGATCACAGTCTGTCATATTTATATGTAGTTCTTCGCTGGGTTCTATCAAAGTTTCCCTCTTGCCCCGTCAAATCATTCTGTTATCGCCCTGGTAGATGTATTTCACTGCTGGTTATGATTAGTTTAAATGTTGAACAACAACGTTTATGATTTGGCACACGAGAGAATAGGGCATAGGAAGTGATAGACTTGGTATTATAGATAGAAAGACGATAGAAACAGTGAAAGCTAGAGCTAGTTGGCTAACAATAGTCATGATTCAAGGATTACGTTTATGATCAAACACGTCTATTGTTAGCCAAATAGCCTTAGTCTCCACCGCATCTTTCCTTTTTTATCTGGAATACCATGTCCATCGCTTCCTACGTCCTAGTCTCTTGTGTGCCAACTCACAAATGTTGTGGTTCTACTTGTTTTGATTAGACTCACTGAAGACATCTCCTCTTGGCTTCTGATTGTCAATTTCTCATCTCGCTGCGATCTCTTTTTCTAAGATTAAGGATTTTACCTTGATCCAGTCATCTTATTTTTGCTGATCTTGCTATTGCCTTGTCTTCTCCTAGTTTTTCGATGCCCTCTCAGAACTTGCGTTTTCTTATATCTTCAACACATGCAGCCAACCTTATGGCCGATTTCCAGTCGATTTCGTGCCCCGTCCGCGCAATGTGTTCCGCTATTTCGGATCTTTTCGTATCCATGTTCTTGCAGAGTGTTTGATGTTCCTTGATTCGTAGGTCGATTTTTTTTTCCTGTTTCGCCGATATACTTATGCTCACAGTTGCCGCATTTGATGCGATAAACTCCCAAGCAATCAAGTTTGTCAATCTTCACGTGTTGCATCGGCAGATTTGTAAAAAGTCCTCTCTTCTCCTTTGTTATCAGCTTGATATTCCATTTCCTTTTTAACGGTCGCAATTGTTGGCTCAGTTGTGATGAGAGACACATCAAATTTTGGTTGACATCATGATTTTCATAAAGGGAGACTCTGATAGGACCCAGGAAAGGACTACGTAACATTATGACAGACTCTATTCAGCATTGCCAGCAAAGGGGTGGAGGGGGTGATAACGACAGCATGTAGTGTTAAGGGTTTTCATTAATGCTACTCGAAGGAGCACAGCACACTACATTAAACATAAGCATGGTAAAAATTGGGACAGAGAAGGCAGGATAGGAGGATATAGGAAATGTGAATAGCCTAGGGCAGAAGAGGAGATACTACAACTGTTTAGCATACGTTTAGTCAAAGGATGGGCTACACTTGTCTGTTTGACGAGTTTTAATATGGTGAGACTCATTGATGATGCCGACTACGATGCCGGTGAAACGTCTTGGAATGTACCACGTCCACGGTCCTACTCTGGAAATGATGATGCACACAATGCACTCCAGAATAGATGCCTTCCTCTAGATCTTCCTACCAATATGACCAAGTTAAGATAACAAGGTCAAACAACTTCTATACAACGAAAGGAGACTGCGACCACACAAAAATCTACACTATCTTGGTCTTCATACCTTCAAAGAATTTAAAGATATGCGGAAGCTAGATTCAAAATTTTATTTAGAAAACAATCAAATACTTAAGCCGCATCCTTAAAATGACCAGCATTTATAATATACAAGCTTAAATCTGATGTCTTAAATCAGAAATCAGCAAAATCCGGAAAAAAGATACACTGAAATCAAGGATATATCTAAAACTACAGAAAAAGTCAATACAAGGGGACTCTGACTTTAGCGTTGTAGATGGCAAGCGTTTTATATTTTAGAGACAGTCCACATCCTTCTTAGGAACACAACAATAAGTTCGATCGTATCCACATCTAACCCAAGATCTAACTTCAAAAAAGCATAAGATCTTTAATTAGATTATAAGAGTACAATTTAATGCAATTCTTGACTTCGCATGGAATGAATCTTGATACAAAATTGTTCTTCACTCACGATGCATCGAGAAGAAATTCGATTAAATATTCCGAATCTAAGTTTCATTTCAGCATGTTTGTAGTCAATAATATGCTAACAAGCATATAATGAATGAAAACGTGATAAAATCCTCGAAAATAATTGTCCAAAATAAATATGAAAGAAGGCATAAAGGAAAGCGCTAGCAACGTTAACTAATCTAAAAATGGGGGAATGGATTTCCAAAACCTTGAGGAAGGAGAGAGGAAAATATTAAATATCCCAGGCTTCAATAATGTCAGTGATCAAACTTCTTCTTGAAGCAATGAAGACCAAGATGATGTAAACTTTCGTATGTTCGCGGCATCCTTGCGTTATTTAGAATTAGTTTGGCCTTGTTCTCGCCATTCGGTCACATTGGCAGAAAGACCAAGAGGAACGCACCATGTACTGAGTTCATAACATGCATGATCGTGGATCTAGCACATTTCTAGACGTCTAATTAATTATCTACTAAAGAGTTGTGGTATCTCAATTATTTAATTATCCTATGTTCTCATATGCACCTAGTAATTCTCTTTTTCATTTTAGCCTACTTACAAAGTAGGTACAATAAATTGATAAATAGAGCAATTTTATTAAGGCGGATTGCGATTAATTCCATGTACATTTAATCTTAGATATAAAGACCAAGATTGTGAAGTTTGAGGTTTACTGTATAAGCATTTTTATGTAAGCAGACATTTTCATTCCTAAAACTAAGTCAAATCAATTAACTGACTCAACACCAACTGTTAAAAATACTGTGAAAAATAAGCTTTCAAAAAAAGATATCAAATCATTCAATTTAATATTATTATGCCTATTTGCACATGTGTATGTTTAGTCGGATGTTTAAGCATTTAGTGGTATAAAAGAAATGCAGTAATATCCGGGTACTGTTCACGTTGAGGATGCTGATGAGAACTAGACAAGGACAAAACTGAAGTATCACTAGAATTAAAAGATTTTTTGGGAAATTCAATTGCATCGTGAGGCCTAATCAACTCATTGATAAAAATCCATTATCAGTCCTCTATCACCTTACAGGATTAAGAGTGACTAATTATCGTATTTAAGATTTACTGGTAATCTCGAAACCCTACTTAATTTAGATACATGGCTAAAAAAGTTGAGAAAAGAATATATATTTGACTTTCTCCCAAAATGGGATTTAGCCAATTTCACGTTTAAAGGATTCATTGATCACGTATATTTGCCATTTCACATTTTTAAAATGTTGAGCTAAAATCCATTTTTTTAGAATTCATCAAACAGAGATGTTAGTTAGTAAAGTTAGACTTCCTTGAATCTTTCATTTGGTAGTTTAATCAAGGTCATTGTATCGATCGACAATCATATCTCCTAACCTCCCTCTTTACATTTCATGCAATCCTCATTTTCATATATTGCCTATTCGCATGCACACCTTCAGATGAAACCAGATGCTGGTTATCCAAGCGAATTAAAATGCTGGCGTAAACTACCTCTAATATGCATTTTATCCTAACCTCTCACATTCCTTCTGTCCAGAATAAGCTTGTTTCAGTGTTGCCGATAGATTCGAGTATTCTTTCAACTCATAAGTACAAAGAAAAATAAAGAAATCGCAGACCAAAGCTCATCACTCTGCAACGGAACTAGCTTCTCTCCCATTCTCATAGGTCGTTTACATATTTTATAACAAGGATGCTAAGACAACTACCGAACTTTGCAAATTTCGGACTCAAATTGTATTTTACACTTGCCAGGGCTTTTACTATCAGTCTA